TGTATTTTTGCCCAAATAAAGACCGATTTGTTTAAAATATGATTTGCTTTTTCTATCATTTATTTACAATTTGATTGATTTAATTGATTGCAAGTGTTTTTTAATTAATGTTCTTTAATAGGTTTAACGATAGAAACTTTGATTTTAGTCATACATAAGCCGTTATAGTTAATCACCCTTTAATTGTTAGATCATTGATAACTTGTAATCAATAGAAATACTGTTAAAGAACTTCAATTATGTTTAATTAACTCAACATTTGATTTATATTCAATGGGTTTGTGTTTTGGTGAATGGAATACCTCTTTGTAATAATGAGTACTAAAACCAAAACCCAATGAATATACAGTAAAATTAAAAGTAATGATGAGATTGTATTAAATTGTTTGATTGGTTGCAATGAAAGGCTTACAACTATTTGGGCCATTACTACGCCAGAAGTCTTTCCATAGTCAGCCCAAGTCTGTCATCCATTGCAACAAAATGAAAGTCTCATTACTTCCAGCGCTTGAAGATAACTACATGTATCTATTGATCGACGAGAAGACCAGAGAGGCTGCGGTCATAGATCCGGTCGAACCAAACAAAGTGCTCAATGCTATCAAAGAAGAGAATGTAGTGCTGACCACAATCCTCACAACCCATCATCATTGGGATCACTCGGGAGGCAATGTAGAGCTGCATAAAGCCATGCCATCACTCGCTGTGATCGGTGGCGACGATAGGGTCGGAGCGCTCACTAAATTAGTTAAGGGCGGCGATCGGCTCACTGTCGGCGAGTTGAACATTGAATGTCTGTTCACTCCGTGTCACACAAAAGGACACATTTGCTATTACGTCACTTCCAGTACCGATTCAAACGCCGATCCAATCGTTTTTACAGGTTTTCATTCAATTACTTTTGATTCTAGTGTTTAATATTGTAATTAATTTGATTTATTTTGCTTTAAAAAGGCGATACACTATTCGTCGCCGGCTGTGGGAAGTTCTTCGAGGGAACCCCTAATCAAATGCACACCGCTTTGATTGATATATTGAGAAGTTTGCCAGAAAACACAGTAACCATTCAATTGCACAATAATTGCACAACAAGTGACTAATTTATTAAATTGTGAATTTTCATAACAGAAAGTGTATTGCGGTCACGAATACACTGAAACTAACCTAAAGTTTGCCAAAACTATTGAACCAAACAATGAAGACATTGAGAAGAAGCTCTTATTGGTTCAGGTATACAATCAATCAATTATTTGTCTAATAAAATATAAATTTTTATTTACACTTAATATACAGGACTTGCGTTCGAGAAAAGAGGCGACAATTCCTTCAACAATTGGTGAGGAGAAGAAGACCAACCCTTTCATGAGAGTTGACGTCCAAAGTGTCCAAAAAGTGGTCCACAAAGAGAATGATTCGATCGCAACGATGGGTGAGTTGAGACGATTGAAGGATAATTTCAAAGCCAAGTAATGCCATATTAGTCGACGTCTTTGTTTGGGGGCTTTTTCGATGAATTGGCAGTAAATATCTTCATTTCGTTCTCATAACGAATCTTATCGTTATTAAACAGATTATAATAAATCTATAATTAATATGAATACAAAAAGTTAATATTAACCAAATTATAATGTAATCAATGATTAGACCTGTTTGGAAGTGAGTGACAATTCATGCCATTGTTGTGCCAATGCTTTTGTCAGCTCCTGGTGTGTCATTTCAGCCTATAATCCAATTCAATTGATTAATACTTTAATACTTAAATAAAATAGCATTTTGACAAAAATACATTGTATTTCATGTGATATTTCTCTTGTAATGAACTCCTATTCTCCTGACAGAAGAGAAGGTATGGATTGATAGGTTTTTTGGGAACGACATAAACGGTT